GAGATCATCACTGGGTGAATGATATTAATATTTAGTATTAAAGTTAAATAAAATAATATAACAATAACGTACATATGTTTATTGTAAAAAGTCTCCATGTTAATCGTGGGTTTCTCCGTTGGATAATTATCACTCCAGATGATCTCCACGAGGAAGGACCGAGGGTCATTGTCGTCGCCAAACTGCAGATACAATATTCATCAACAAATCATCGATAATTAATTTATTAATAACAAACCTTGTACTGATAAGTCGTTGACGTCAGCTGTTTGAAGGCATTATCTCCTTCATAAATGGAGAGAAGCACCTCTCGCTCCTCTTCCTGGAGCTCTTCATCACTCATATTATCACGAGACCCTCTGCCCCCAAATTGTTATAACAATCTTTAAATATTAATTGTTTTAATACCCAGTGCCTGGGATTTCGTGGCTCGGGAACAGATTCAGTGGTTGAGGTTAGGACGAACAGCTGATCGAAAAATATATCATGAAAATTGAAATTCATGGGCTCATTAAAATAAATAAATCATCCTTACAATAATCAATAAATAAATAAACAATGGAGTTGGTTTAATAAATCGGATTTAAAGTCACAGATTCACTTTTTAAATTCAATAAAAAATTGTTAAAATTCATGAACACTTAATTCACTGGGTTATATATATTGTTTATAACTTTTTTGTTGTTAATATTATTGTTGAGTAATCGATGTTGAAGAGGTAATGGACGAGGGATTTTATTAGTCGATGAAAATGGCATTGTGTGGGGCACATTGAACGAGTGTTTATGTATTTGTATGTATTATATGAGCAGAAAGTATTTCTTGGGCTGTAGTTATCCAGAACTGCACGTCAAGACCACTTGTTGCACTGTCATGCCCACAATTTTTAATTAAGTGATTGTTTAAATAAAGAGTGACGAAAACCGTGAGAACTGGAAATTATTCCGGCGAAAATCTGAAGGTAAAATCATCATTAATCATTCATTCCATAAATACATAAATAATAATACATAAATAAACAATAAATGAATAATAATTATTGCATAACTGTTTAAACAAATTTTATTATTAATTTTCAAATTTCCAGAGTTTTAAACTCAATTCTTCATTTTTTATTTTCAAATCATTCGTCGGTCGATGAAAAATTCGGATTGTTTTCAGGTTTTTAATTAATTAGTTGATTAATTAATTAGAGGATATTTTAATTGAGGGCATGGAGGTGTCACTGGCAGTGATTATTCGGTTTTTAAATTTTTATTTGCAATTGATGAAGTTTGATCTAGGGATGGAGTAGAAAATGTCCATTTGGTATTTGTCGAAGGCCGGGTTCTTCATCACGAAGTATTTCCAGTGGATGATCTCGATGACGAGGGTAAGGAGACCTAGGGAGTAGCCGATGCCCAGGGCCACGAGAGCTCCGTGGAGCTTGTGGAGATT